GAACAAATCCCTTCTTGTTTCAGCAAGACAGTTTATTAACTCTAGTTCATGATTTCTCTGTGTGTATTCATTTTATATCGAAATCTGTATTCGAAATCAAGTCTTACATAGCACAAGTAAATATGCTTCCGAAAGGCAGTTGTCCCTGTGTTTCAGAATGGAGAAACTATTTCGAATTCATGTTCAGTTTGCTCCAATTATTGTCACAGGAAAGTTAGCCATTACAAGTCATCCAGAGACTTTATACACATGTATGTGATTCCTGCGTGGAATACTCTAAGAAGTAAACGAGCAATTTTTGAGAGATATAAATGTGTGGAGTTTATCATTTTTCTAACTGTAATTTGAAGATGCTTCACTGATAGATGGGTTTGTTTTCTTTTCAAAATAAAGCACTTGCTTCCAGTTCCGCTCAAGCACCACCACAAAGTGTCGCTTCCTGAGTCAGAGCAACATCAGTGCACAGCTGCTTCTGTCTTGTTTACACGACTCACAAGGAGGCCACATCATGATGGTAATTACGATGTGACACTCATTAACCACCACTTCTGTCATATGGGGGTGTCTGCCCAATTGGGAGCGCCAGTCTACACCCATGAGACACGTGCATGGTGGGGACACAGAAACCCACAAATCACTGTTACCAGGGATAGAGAACATTCTGGGCTTCGGCCATTTCTTTCACAACTTCACACGAGGTGTTCACAATGGTAGTCCCACCTTTCAATGTAAGGAATCCAAACACGACTCAAGGCCACAGAGCAACATCTGTAATAGCTGTTGGTGGTATTTACCCAAGGGGTGATGATAACTCCCAGGGCAGGCCAACTATACAAGAATGAGGCAGAAGCAGGAAGGAGGGTGTGGTCTGGCTAAAAAGACTCACAGGAGCCTCCCTTTAAGACTGTGGCCTCATCCAGATGAAGCAGGCCACACAGCTGTCCTCTTGACCATCAGGTACTTGACGTACCTATCTCAGGGAGAGTAGGATGTTCCCTACGCCACAGTTTCTCAACTTCTGCATCAGGACACTTTGTAACCTGGGTATATTGCAATGCATTGCTACATCTAGGTTTTGCCGCTTCCCTTTGTCAATCTGGGATTTAGAGTTGGCAGGTGCCATGGGCATGGGAAGGCAGTTTCCTGGTATGAGGTATTGTATGAGGAGAGCAGATTGAGAGAGACTGGAGAGAGAATGAATGTATAAGGGATTGGAGGGTGAACTAGAACATCGAGAGAAGTTATAAAAAAAATATGAGGAAGAGCCTGTTAGGATAGAATTGTCTCGCCTAATTTCAGCTCCTTTACGGAAGACACTGGATGACATCATCCTACTCAGACCAAAGAGCCTGAAGCCAATAGGTGGTTATTTTTATTTTCCCATTCAGAGTTTATTGGCCATTTCATAAGACAGCAAAAAGACAGAAACAGAACTGTAAAACTCACTTCTGCCTAAAGGTCTTTCCTCTGCATTTTGGCTGGCTCCTATTATGCATTAAGAATGTAGGTGATGGGACCAGCAGTTAGCATAATGGTTATGTCGCTGGACTCCCATGTAGTCAATCACAGTTCGAGTCCCAGATGCGGTGGCTTAAATTCACACGAGGTACGGATATTTGTGCGTGCGTGCCCAAGATCCCAAAAGGAGAATGGAGGAGAAGGGACTGCGGCATGGTCAACCCCCCCGGTGGTGATTTCTCACTTTCTGTCTCTCTCTGTCTTTCTGGTGATCACACAAGCCCTATAACAAAAGCCTCTCCAAAAATAAACAAATTAATTCATTCATTCATTAATTTAAAAAATAAAAAAGAATGTAGGTGACAGCAGCAGAGACACATTGAAATCCCTAGATTTTAGCTGAAAGAGAAGTTGAAAATTTTCAGAGCAGCTGTTAAGCCTTGCGGGCTGGTGCCCTGTTTTCTGAAACCCAAAGTGGAAGTACAGTATTTCTTCATATCTCCAACCCTAGACTGCCCTTCTCTAGAAATGAATCACTTTTTGCCCCCAGTCTTAAGTTAAAAACCAGGTGAATGGGACACTTACTCCCCTGTTTCTGTGTATATGTACATATTTAATGTGTGTGTGTTTGTGTGTGGGAGAAGCTATGCTCCTGATCATCTCCTGATCACAGGATGAATTTGTGCAACATACACAAATCATAGCATCCCAGGGCCAGCAGATGGTATAATGGTTATGCGCTGGACTCCCACATAGTCAATTGTGGTTCAAGTCCCATACCTGGCAGCTTAGAACTCATACCAAGCGCACATGTGTGCATACCCAAAATCCCCAGAGGAGAATGGAGGAGAAGGGATTGTGGCATGGTCATCCCCCCTTGGGGCCAACTTCTCACTTTCTGTCTCTTTGTCTCTCTGGTGAGTGCATGTGTCCTATGGCAAAAATATCTCTAAAAATATATATAAATAATAATCATCCTTTAATTTAGGAGAGGAACCCCAACCAGGGCAGCTGCCTGGGACAGGGCCCCTACTGGCTGCCCCAGCTGGATGTCTTAATGCACAACCAATGCAATCATGGAGGGCACCCTACAAGACAATGGGGCTAAAGGGCCTGAAGGGTAGGAATAATAAACCCATGCAAGGAAGAGCCGTAAGGAAGATGCATGTAGGGAAGCGCATTCCAGGGGGTCCTACATGCTTGCTATTGGGAAGCTATAATTACAGCTCCAAACCTCCAAATGGCTCAATCGGAGATGCAAGTATAACCATTTGAATTCCCAGTGCTCATAAGATGAAAGCAAACAGACTGTCCAGGAGATATACACATGTCCTGGGTCTGAAATTCCTATCAGGAGTTGGAGTTTCTTTTGAAAAGGCGTCCCAGGTGATCAGCACACACACTCTTGAGGCCATCAAGAGTGGATAAACTGTATGCCGAGGACCCTCCCCATTGGTTATGTCTGGCTTCTGGGGTAGTCACAAGGATTAGGATATGGAAGGTAGATGTGTTTTCACCCAAAAGTGACCTTTATCATATTGCTTTTAATGAACTGTATAACTCTCAAATTGTTATGATTAACCACTTTTGAGAACTTTACAATGAGTCATTCACTAAATATATAACCTGGATTACGTAGTCAATCTATAAAACACACCTATAAAGTGTACATTATTGGGACCAGCAGATGGTGTAACAGTTATGTTGTTGCACTCCCACGTAGTCGACCATAGTTCAATTCCCAGACCCAATGGCTTAAAACTCATGCCAGGCATGTGTGTGTGTGAGCCCCAGATCCCAAGCAGAGAATGGAGGAAAAGAGACTGCATCATGGCCATCCCCCTGTGGGGAGCGGGAGGGCAGGGTGTGACTTCACACTTTCTGTCTCTCTGGTGAGCAGACATGCCCTATAGCAAAAATCTCTCTAAAATAAATAAATACATAAATAAAGTGTCTATTATTATCCCCATTTTACTCATAACAAAATGAAATTCAGATAGGTAAAATACCTCACCCAAGGTTACCCTGTGAGTACATGGTGAGGCTGGGATTTACAGCCAGGATCAAAAGCAGTTTTCGGCTCAGCCATGGTGGCACGGGCAGTAGGGCACCACTCTGAGCCACAGGGAAGACCATAGTTCAGATCCTGGGTTGACCTGACCTAAAACACACCAGTATGGCTCAAGGCTGGGGACTGTGTGAGGGATAGACTGCAGCATGCTAAAACCCGATTAAGAATACTTGTTTTTCTCTTTCTCTCTCCGTCAGTAAAATGAATAAACAACAACAACAAAGCAGCTTTGCATCATTCCAAAATTCATGCTCACTGTTATCCTACAAAATGGCTAGGATGGTTGAAACTGTTAAGTATACTGAGAGATGTGAGCATCAAATAACTAGAAAGTTATCCTACATAAATGACACGTTCATCAGCAGACGCCCATCAGAGCATTACAATGTCAGAAAAAGATCTTTAGCCTGCAATTTCTTTAAGAGCAAGAGAGGGAGATAGGCAAAAAGTTTCATCATAGATAATTGACAAAATTGTACGACAAATCTTAAGTAATGTTTTCCTCTTTTTGTTAGTTGTACAATAAAACCCCCAAATTTCTTCAATATTCTTCCCAAGGAAACGTGGGCTCTATATCCCTTCCCCTCAAATTGGGCCTCTGGCTGTCTGACCCATGAAACACGGTGGGACCAAGAGGCATGGAGGTTAAGGTGGCTGGACCCCGTATAACCAACTTTACAGTTCATGCCCCACACCTGGCGGCTTGAAACCCATGCTGGGCACGTGTGTGTACATGCCCAAAATCCTGAGAAGACAATGGAGGAGAAGGGATTGCAGCATAGCTATTCCCCTGGGGACTGAGTTCTCACTTTTCCTCTCTAGCCAGAGCATGTGCCCTAAGGCAACAATTGAAAAACAACAAAATAAAATTACAGTTGATCTTTTCTTTTTCCTATCCTTTTTGTCCCCAGATTTTCTTTTTTCTTTTTAATTTTGCCAGAGGATGTGTGCACTCACCAGAGATAGAAAAAAGGGGAGAAAGAGGAAGGCCCCCCTCACAATGAGGCATGGTCATGCCACAATACCTTCTCCTCCATTTTTCCATCCTGTCAGGATCTGGGACATACACACATGCCCAGTTTGCTTTTTAAGTTGCCAGGGCTGAAATTCAAACCATGTGGTTGGCCATGTGGGATCTAGCTCCCTTAACCAGTAGGCCATGGAGTCAGCACTCCTGATACTATTTTTATCTCCCCGAATGAGTAGTGTTAGTAGGAAAATTATTTAATGACACACTATTTTTGAAGAATACAAATGATATCATATGAGATCAACCCTCAGCCAAGTCTCTGCACATATACACCTTCTGCACACATACATACCAACATCAGCATGATGCGAAGAAGCAAGACAACTCAGTGGATTTAGACAAAGCCTTCCCAGCAGGGGACAAATGACAGGGAGCAGGGAAGCCCACACAACTAGGCTTTTGTTCTAGCAGTCACCAGGGACAGACTTTCCCGTGACCCACCACATAGCAGCTGCAGCTCTCCTTGAATCACAGCTCAGAGACCTTCATCACATTTCAGGGATGGCAAGGCAGAATTAATCACCCTGTGTTTATAAAATAGAAATCAGCTTTAACAGAGGCTTGACTATTGAATCTTTCTGGGGCACTGCAAGGATTTAGGAAGTACACTGCTGGTTAACTGGTGACTAGGATATCTCACACAGAACAAACTGGCTCACAACAAGGACAGATTGCATTGTTCTACATGTTCTTAATCAATTTCAAATATTAGCCCAGCTGGGTCAAAGTAGGATTTCAAAAGTGGTAAACATTTTGCATGCCTGATAGACATTTTCCATGACTATATGGGGGAGTGGCAAAAATAAATCATTAATTCCTTCAATACACCTTTATTGAACATTTATTATGCTATAGGGATATATAAGTGAAAAGATGTGGCACAGTTAGAATTAAATGCTAACTTTTGTCTTGTCTCACAGCCAGCTGTGTACTGGGGCTGACCTCCACACAGGCTCATGAGAGCAAATATGATGATTCTTCTTGCAACTCCACTTTCAGTGACCTAATAAGAAGGGGCTTGAACTCAACTCAGTAGGAGAATTTACACCACAGGAATTGGCAAATACTACAGATCAGGGTTTCCTTCCCAGAGAGCTGGTTGTTTAACATTCACCAGCACACCCCTGCTTAGAAGTCCAATGAAGGACTCCTGTAACTCTCTCGCTTATCTCCAGCCACTTCATCCTTCCTCCTAAGTGCCAACTGTGCTGACCCTTCTGTGCCCACACTGGCCTTTTTGTGAGTGTTTAAACCACATAGTGCATCACTACCATAAAGAACTATACATTTATCTGGTGTGAACTTTATTTATTTCACTTCTCTGTGCCTATCTCAAAACCAAAGTTGGCATTCCAAGAGTTGAAATACACTTCCTCATAAGAATCCATCTGAACTGAAGATCAAGAAAAAGGAAATTTGAGTTGGAAAAAACCCTGGTCAGATTTCTAGGTGAGGCTTTCCTCATCCTCGCCCTATGTTTATATTATCATCAAAGGATAGACTTTATGGACGATGTAAAATTAACCCTAAAATCTAGCCAAACTGAATTATTAAAACATCTGGGTTTTAAAAGATGTATTTAAATCAGTTTATTTTAAACCTTCCAAAAATAAAATTAAATGCAATTACTAATGACATTTCCAAATACTAAATAGGCCACTGTGCTTCGAAAGAGATTTGATTTCTTAAATACAAAAACTCTTCATACATCCAGAACACAAATACATGGAATATTCAGAAAGTTTATGGAAAATGGAATTAGAGGATAAGCATTTTATGGTGAAAAAAAAAAAAGATAGTCATGTATAGTTTATTTGTAAAACACATTTTCAATGAACTTTATAAAGCCCTTTGTGCAGGGCAATCTCACCATTCAAGAACAAAACAAGAACAAAAATGTCTGTGAGCAGCCAAAAGTTGTCTTACAAGGGTAGTTTTAGAGGCTTAGTGGCCTTTTCAAACAAACTTCCAAATCTTTATTATGTGATAAGTCAAAAATAACACTTCAGAGTCCTGTATCAGCTGCCAACATTTTGGTTTATACCATTCCCTCCTTCTATCATCAATACACACACCAGGCAGTCTCTCAAACTGCCATTTAAAATTTTGTTTCTTTAGCACTTCTTTTTTCCCCACAGGGTGTGTGTGTGTTCGTCAGAGAGAGAGACAGAGAGACAGAGAACTGGATAAAGTACTCCCTCCTCACCACTGGGGCCTGGTCACATAGCAATCTAATCTCCATTATTCTATCCTTTTGGGATTTTGGGCACATGCACATATACATGCTGTGTTTTTCAAGTTGTGGTGGACAAGATTCAGTTGGCCATGTAGAATCTGGCTCCCTTAACCACCAGGTCATAAGACTGGCCCTCCTCAGCCCTCATTATCCATAAATACTTTTATTTGCTTATTGGCCCCTGCAGTCTGTCTCCCCAACTCAAGCCATTTGCCTCATGATAGTAGAGGCCCTGTCCATCATCCTGTTACCTGGCACAGCAACAGGCCTAGATTTAGAGCTCAAATCCATTCTCAATGAACCAACAAACACGTGAGCACAATGACCTGCTGTCGGAGGCCTTCTATGACAAATGCATTAACAGCTCAGTCCTAGTCCTTTGAGTCTACCTTCCTTCATGACCACTGGAACAGGAACTATGTGGCCCTTCTACACTCCTCTATCCAGGTTCCTGAGGCATCTTAGGAGCCCTCTCAGTCACTGCTCCGAGATGTGGCTTGAAGTGAGACAGGATAAGAAAGCCCTGCAGAATCAGGCCTCTTGCCATGATGTAGAATCCATATTTCCTGATTTTGTCTGCTGGCCCGGTCATTGCCCCCACTCTTCCCCTTCTCCTTTGGCTTACTGTTTGGGTTTCTGTCTTCCTCACCTGCTTCAGAATGGCATTCTTTCCCATCCTCTCCTCTCATCCTTAATCTTAAAAATGGCACAGGTCTTCAGAGGCTCTTACTAAGCATGTTGATTATTGGTACAAGATAAATGACAAGGAGGAGGGTCTCCCCTGTCTGCCCTCCTGCCAGGCAGCTGTATACACTCTCCTCCACACGGGACTCAGGATGGTACTGTGGAGCCACTGGCTTGCTGGTGCCTGAGCATCGGCACTGGGATGTGTGAGGAGCAGACATGGATACACCAGGTGAAGTTCCACATCGTTTGGTTTCCACTGATTATTTTAAAGACCAAATTCAGATTTAGTTCACTGGCAGGTCCAGAACAATCCAGGCCACCAAATTCCAAAATGGAACTAAAGTCACATGCGCAAGCCTCAATGTGAGAATCAGCTGGAACCAGCTGCAATCAAGCTCTAAAAACGAGTTTTGTCAGCAGATACAGGCCTTATAATAGTTATTTCTCCCTTAGACATGGCACCAAAGGACTCGTCCGGCAGCATTTCATCTCACATTTAGCAAGAGTAAAATTCCCTTTCAGTTCTTTCATTTTATTTCTAGCTTAGCTCTAAGCTTCCCCCTGTCTAGGGGAAAACAACAATAACAATAAAGTTCTGAAGCAAAGAATATTGTATGGAAACCCACCAACTGTTAAGAAGTGAGTTGTCAGGGCCAGCAGGTGGTGTGATGGTTGGGGATGCTAGACTCTCATATGGCCAATTACGGTTCAAGTCCCACTTTCTCTCTCTCCCCCTCTCTGGTCAAATTTAAAAAGTAAATAAATAAATAAAGTTAAATAAAATAATTATTAAGAAAAAAAAGAACTGAGTTGCCACATCAAAATAAAAACTGAAGGACCGGGATACATTATTTCAAAGGAATAAGAGGGAGTTTCCCAATTTTAATCAAATGTATTAGTCTTTATAATAATAATTGTTATATGTATATTTGATACACACATAATATACACATAATATAGTATATATACACATGTGTAATATATACATAATATATTCTGCAGGATATATTAATATATACACTGTATTATTATACATAATTATATATATTACATACGTGCAAATACATACACATTTTTCTTATCTTTTCTTTCTTTTTACTTTTGACCAGTAAAATACTCTTGGGGAAAAAATCAAATTCCAAAATGGAACTAAAGTCACATGCGCAAGCCTCAATGTGAGAATCAGCTGGAACCAGCTGCAATCAAGCTCTAAAAACGAGTTTTGTCAGCAGATACAGGCCTTATAATAGTTATTTCTCCCTTAGACATGGCACCAAAGGACTCGTCCGGCAGCATTTCATCTCACATTTAGCAAGAGTAAAATTCCCTTTCAGTTCTTTCATTTTATTTCTAGCTTAGCTCTAAGCTTCCCCCTGTCTAGGGGAAAACAACAATAACAATAAAGTTCTGAAGCAAAGAATATTGTATGGAAACCCACCAACTGTTAAGAAGTGAGTTGTCAGGGCCAGCAGGTGGTGTGATGGTTGGGGATGCTAGACTCTCATATGGCCAATTACGGTTCAAGTCCCACTTTCTCTCTCTCCCCCTCTCTGGTCAAATTTAAAAAGTAAATAAATAAATAAAGTTAAATAAAATAATTATTAAGAAAAAAAAGAACTGAGTTGCCACATCAAAATAAAAACTGAAGGACCGGGATACATTATTTCAAAGGAATAAGAGGGAGTTTCCCAATTTTAATCAAATGTATTAGTCTTTATAATAATAATTGTTATATGTATATTTGATACACACATAATATACACATAATATAGTATATATACACATGTGTAATATATACATAATATATTCTGCAGGATATATTAATATATACACTGTATTATTATACATAATTATATATATTACATACGTGCAAATACATACACATTTTTCTTATCTTTTCTTTCTTTTTACTTTTGACCAATAAAATACTCTTGGGGAAAAAATCTTATGCTTAGACTGAATCATAAACTTAATTTAAAATACCTATTATCAACGATTAATTACTATTTGATTGTGAGAATGTTGCATTTCATTAAAGTAACTGTTATTACATTCCTGTCAAATCTCTCCTCACCACAATCTCTGAAATGACCAGCCCCCTAGATATATATCATGGGTATAAAATGGCTTATAAATATATCCCATTCAGAAAGCATGTAATAAAAAAGTGTCTTCTGTGCAAATATCTATGCAGAGAGCAGGTGGGTGCCAAGAAAAGATCCTTCTTTCAGTTCTTATCATGTCCTGGAGGGAATACACAGAACACCAGCAGGTCAACCCACCATGTGAATCCACAGCTGACATTTAAATTTCTCTGAAAATGTTTTCTTAACTAGTCAGCTAACCCATACCCCACTCTAGGCACTTTTATAAATGTCATCTTCGAGTACTCTTTTTAATGTCTCATTTTATGTAGAAAGCTGTTTCATTGTTCAATTAAATATCAACCTAATACACTCTTTGATGTATTGGGAAGGAACTTGGAAAGGAAAAAAATGACTAGAAAACTAAAGGAAAAGTAGCTTTTAAGGAGACTATTACAACCAACTATAATTACCACATGCACAAACACACTCCATATAACCATGGCTGAAAGGGGGTGCATTATCTTTAACACGATGACAAAAATGTATTTGCATGTTCATATTGCAAGAAAGCAACCAGTTTTCACTTTCTTTGGCAATAAAATTGGCAATGACTCCTTCCCCTGTTTATTCATTTGCTTTCTACTTCTTTATATCCAAATTTTCAATGACCCCAACAAGAAGGGCAATGAAGATGTCTAACTGATTCACGTAAATTTTGGTCACAGCATTGGAGTGAAAACGCACTTTTCACGTGGGCACAATTAAGGTCATATTAGCTGGAGTTCATGGCCTGATTCCTTTTCCCTCTCCCCATTCCCCTTCTTAGAGCTAGACATTAATAAAAACATGATCGAACTAATGTACTACATACGGGGACCCAACTGATCACAGTCTCAAAGGTAAGAATTGTGGTCTAAAAAATGTTTTGGAAAAGCTTTCTGAAGAACTGGTATATTGGTCCAACACTTAACCTTTATAAATGTTCAACAAGTCTTTAAATGTAAAAATAATTTTTAATGGCCTTTTAGCTTTGATTTCCAACAACTGTCATGGAAAATTAAAATTCGAACATCAAAAAATCGAGAAAATTTTCTACTCTTCATAGGGAAACTTTTTTTAAATTTCAGGGTGTCACTTCTTATTCAGAGGGAAAAAATTGCATGTTTATAGGAGTATATAAGTCCATTTTGTCTCTTCAGTTAATTCAAACCAAAGAAAATTTGGTTTCCCGTAATTCAGGGATTGCATTTCCGATTTTTAAAACATTAATTGAACCTATGTTTTAAAAGTAATCGTAATACTTATAAGTAGACAACTCGCACATGAAACAGACTCAAGAAAAAAGTAAGTCCCTATCACAAGTTACCTTTTTCCTGATCCAAAGTCCTCACCTTCAGGCATTTCTGCCCTTTAAAAATAACGCGAGCGGAGAAAGCCGTGGCCCTTGCACGCCGCAGCTAAGGGGGCCACACGACAGTTTCTTCTCGAATGTTGGGTATCAGGAGGAAAAACCTAGTAGTGAAGTTCTTTCCTTTTCAGAAAAAAGCGCTCCTCCCTTACTCAGAGTGGTGTTTACAAACTCCCAGCGCGCCTGCCTGCCTTGAATGAAGCTGAGCGCAGGGTTATTATGACTGTCCCCTTCTAAAAATAAACAGGTCACCTCTTCCTCCAGCACCGTGACAGGCGGCGGGAGCTAGCTGCCTGTCCAGCTGCCCTGTCCTTTTTTTTCTCTGCAGTCGTGTGAGAAGGTGTCACCAGCCACCTATCAACCTTCACTGGATGACTGCGCCTGGGCTGGCCTGCCCTTTCTCATCCCTTTATTTTCCTGGCATGAGCAGGCACCCACCGAAGGTGAAGCGGCTGCAGGGGGTTGAAACTTCACCCTGGGCTATCAAATCTCCTTCGAGTCACAGGAGGGAGGTGGCCAGCAGAGGGCAAAACGGTCTGTGCCTGCGAGAGAGGAGAGACTTGTTTGTTCAAGAAGTCCCCGTCACCAGGTCAAAAGATCCTTTGCTCAGAAAAGTGACAAACAGAGGCCCGCATACCACCCACGTTTGAGGGCTACTGTTTTGCAAGACAGTCTTTCTTGGAGTCCTCTGGATTTTCAACTCAGCATAAGCGTGTGCATGAACTTGAGTCAGTGTGTTCCTGCGGGCCTTCCCCGTCACCTGACCCTGGCACAGGGCCAGGTGTGAGTCTGGGTGTTTTTATAGCTGCTCAGAGAAGCTCTGCATGTCCAGGGCCCCTCACTTGCTGAATTTTTTTTAAGGGTAGGACAAAAATCACTTCAAATCATGCTTTTGAAAAGGCCAGGAGAAAAAATACAGAGATCCCTTTAGAAATATACCCTGAAAACACTGAATCAAAACCTCCCTGACTAGAAACACTATCAGGGAAGGCAGAGAGCCAGATCTAGTTATTGAGAAATAATACTTTTCTTCTTACAACGTGTGTGCTCCATTGACATGTTATAACAAACCCGAGTGAGATAATTCTACTAAAAGGCATCAAATTTAACGAGGTCAACGTGTTGAATTGAAAATCAAAACATTTTTATTATATAGTAATCTGCTTTCTCTCAGATAGTGTTAGCTATTTTGTGATATATGCGTGTCATGGTCAGAAACAATGCTTTAAATTATTTAAAATTTCACAGAAGATCTCACATTTTAGACGCTTCCGAGTCTCAGGTCAAGTGGATGCAGATCCTCAAACACTCACGAGCTGGGACTTGAAAAAAGTCACAGCAGAGCTCTAAAGAGCAGGGTGTGAGGCACCTCTGAGGACCAAAGCGATGTGCTGCGTTATTAGATATTCTGGGTTCTTAAAGGATTGAAAGTTGAAATAGTAAGAATATTACTGGTGATACTATTTCAGTACTTATATTAAACCATGTCAGCATGAAAGGCTACTTCCACTGTTCAACTCTCAGTTCTGACCATTCTATCCCTTTCATTTGATCTTTTCTTTCTCCTAGGCTATTTTACCATGTCTTGAATATCTGTATGTAACCATCATTGAACTTGGCTGCTGTTTGCTACAGAACTAAAATAGCTCATGGAAAAGGTATATGATGAAAAAACCAGGTGTGGATTTTGGCACTAAAATACACTCATACTTTAATTCCATTTTTCCACAAACTTTTTGAAAACCTTTCAAACATTTCTGAACTCTCTTTTGTCAGTCTAACCAGTTAGTACTGTAACAAATGGATCACCTATTACACCACAGGCCGGTCACTCATATTTTCTTCCAGCATTCCTTCATGCATTTTTAAACTGCTTGCTCCAATTCAGGTATATTTGTGATAGTTATTATTATTATTATTATTATTTTGGAGAGGTTTTTGCTATAGGGCACATGCGCTCGCAAGAAAGACAGAGAGAGAGAGAATGACAGAAAGCAAGAAATCACCCCCCAGGGGGGATGGCCACGCCGCAATCCCTTCTCTTTCATTCTCCTCTCGGGATATTGGGCATGCACGCACACGTGCCCAGCATGAGTTTAAGCCACCGGGTCCAGGACTTGAACCGCAGTTGACTACATGGGAGTCCAGCGACACAGCCATTACGTTAACTGCTGGTCCTTATTTGTGATAGTTTTTAAGATTCACAGATAACATAAACCAGAGTGTAGCCATACGAAAGACAAGTATCCCCCAAGGTCCTGCACGTGGCTTCCTCACCTGGATGACGCCTTCTGTCCTGCCAGGGATGAAGGTGCTCAGGGTTCCCTTCTGAGGCTAACCTGAAATCTACTGGCAACCAGAATTGAAGGACTCGCAGAACACAGATGTGGTGAGACCCTACAGGCCAGCGAAGCTATCACCAAGACTTCCAGATGCTGACAGCATGACACAGTTCTGTTAGGTGCCCCAGTGGTGACAGGGCCAGGAGTCACCTCTAGGTGGGCTATCCCTTACCTAAGTACTATTTCCTTTTCCTTTTATTTTCTTTTCTCTTCTTTCCTGTTCTGTTCTTTTCTGTTCGTTTTTTTTTTTTGTTTTTTTTTTTCAGTTTTTGTCATAGGGTCCATTTGCTCACCACAGAGAGAAAAAAAGTGAGAAAATACCCCCCAGGAAGGATGGCTATACCACAATCACTTCTACACTCACTTCTCAGGATTTGGGGGCATACACATGCACACACACACACACACACAAACACACACCCCAGGTGTGACTTTCAAGCCATAGGGTCCAGGACTTGAACAGCAACATCTGCCATATGGTATTAACCATCATGTTACTGGTTGGTCCCTAAGTGCTCTTTTCTTTCTTTCTTTCTTTCTTTCCTTTCTAAAAAAATTTACTAGAAGACATGTATACTCTTGCTAGACAAAGAGAGAGAGTGAGAAAGCATCCCCCATGGGGGATGGCCACACTGCAATCCCTTCTCTTCCATTTCTCCCTCCTTTTGGAATTTTGGGCACATATGCATATGTACCTGGCTTGTTTCTCAAGCCACTGGGTCTGGGACTTGAACTGCTCAGTTGGCCATGTGGAGTTTAATTGCCTTAATCACCATGTCAAAGGCTGACCCACTCAAGTGTTCTTTTCACTCTGCACCTGAAACATAACAGAGCCCACACATTCTAGCAAATCCCGTATGACCAGACATTTTCATATTTAAAATTTTCTAATATCCACACTCTTCCAAAATAAGCATTTCATTTTAGCATATTAACTTTCCTTTGCAATCTAATTATGTCGTTTGGCCAAGCCATTGCTATTTCAAAGCTAAATGTCCAGTTTTCCTGATGTCTTTCTCCTCCCTCCTCACACAACCTTCAGTTGAAGAGTTTTGTTTTATCTCTTCCTTTCTCTTCTATGGCAGTTGTACTCAAGCTCTGGAACATTCTATCAGATACTCTTAAAAGGATCCTCTCTCTTTTGGAGGTTATAGGGCAATGTTAGCAACAAATGGCCGAATGCTGCAATACAGACAGACAGGTTGCCTCCTCAAATCCCTCCCCAACACTGGCAGGTAATGCAAACCTCAGGTTTCAGCTGTCTGCATGGCCTTTCAGAGTAAAACTACATTTCACAGCCTTGTTAGAGCCAAGTGAGGCCTAGCGATCGAGATGCCAGCAGAAACATTAGCGGCTCAGCAATCTTCCCTCAAGGACACTTGGTGCATCCCCTTCCCCTTGGCCGCTTTCCTGCTGGCTAGAATGCAGATGTGATGACTGGACTCCCGGAAGCCATTCTGCATAGGAAGTGACTTGTGCAACAGAGGCCCAACATGGTAAGGCTGCAAAAGGAAGACGGCTCAGGCCAGATGCTATTAGGAGCAGTAAACAGTCCTGGACTGCCGCCTTCTCCGTAATATGCAGGTGAGAGAAAAATGAAATGTCCTCATGACACCGTTATTTTGAGACTCCATTGCTCATACTCAAACCTAATCCTAACTATTTTCTCAAAAGTATAAGCAACAACATTAAAACACAACAAAACCATTAAAACAAAAGGACGTTAGACTTCCACCTTAGGTCATGTTGTGAGATCAATCTCTGTGTGTGAGAGAAAAGGTCAGATTCTCTCCTGCCTGATCCCCGTGCACGCACATCTATAAGGCTGACTCCTGATAACATTTCTATGGAGTCAAGTCTTTGTGTCTGTTAAGGTGGGTGCTCTAGAGAACATCTGGAATAGAAAATAAGATGACAAAGAATTCAGACAAGAACTCAGAGAGTTCAATCGTGTCTCAATGGAGATACACTAGCTCTGTTCCAATAGAAGGGGACTTCAGAAAGCTTGTGGAAAATGGAACTAAACTATGAGCTATTTTCTGTGCAAAAAGTTTAAAATTCATGCCTTTTTTTGTGTTTGTGAGAGAGATTTTTGCTATGGGGTGCATATGCTCACTAGAGAGACAGAAAAAGATAGAAAGAAAGAAATCTCCCCCCCACCCCACCCCCGCTCCGCCAAGGGGATGGCCATGCCACAATCTCTTCTCCTCCATTCTCCTCCTCAGGATTCTGGGCACACACGCACATGCACCTGGTGTGTTTTAAGCTGCTGGGTCTGGGACTCGAACTGTGGTCAACTACATGGCAGTCCAGTGATGTAATCATCACTCCATCTGTTGGTCCCAATGCATATTTTTTATAATATACATCTCTATGAACTTTCTGAAGACCCCTAATATATAAAGCGGCTCCTGCTGAGGGATGATTAAATCTATTCTCCAGGGCCACAGAGGGCAGGTCTGAGATAAAGGAGCATAAAGGTATTCATGATGTGCAAGCCCAGAATGAACCCCTTTAAGAATGCTGGAGGTTTAATTCCCAAGGGACTTCTAAGAGAGTTCCTCTGGCTGATGGCCCTGAAGCAGAAAGGCTCTGATCCAAGTCAAGGACCAGGACACCCCTGGATGCCCAGGAACCAGCCTGGCAGCTTGTGTATGGAAGGGCAACAGTTCACAACCCTGCCTTTCCTCCAGCTTCAGAAGTCAAGATGAAAAGTGTGCTGGCTAGGTTGTATCCCAAGTTCTTAACTCCCTCCCCTCCTGAATTCTCCAGTTTATACCACCAGTCATCACTCTCTCCTTCCCAATTCTACTGACTTCCTCCCTTGGTCCAAACACACATCTAAGGCTCTCCCATAAACCTTACTCTTGACCACATGAACCCCTCTAACTACCAATCCCTGACTTCTGCCTTTTACAACTTCACATCCTAACCCAGTGGTCCTTGGTTAATTCACTCCTCCTTGGTTGTAACCTACCTTCTGCCCTACCAGGACTGCAGAGACCTAACTGTAGAGGTCAGGATACTTCCTGTTCATCTCATTGGACTTGACCTCCTTAGGGCAACAGCCCCACTGCCACCTCCCTTTGTTATTGATGCTCTCTTCTCTCTCCGCTCACAGACAACACTTTCCGTGGTCAGCTCCAACTTCTCAACTTTCCTCTGGGTCTCTTAGGTGCCCTGCC